GAAAAACAGAAGGACATCTAGGGTTTTTTACTGTCAGACTTCCTTTGGGATGGAGCCCGGTGGAGCTGAGCAGTGCTGAGCTCGCACAGCTCCGTGGTCGGCAGTGTGGGACCTGCTGTGTCCCTCCAAGGGCTCTCTGCTGCTGGCCTTCTTCCTGCTGCTCCCAGGGATTTCACAGCCTTTTTATCTTGTTTTCACAGCTAATTCTGCTCAAGCCTGTGCAAACAGCAGGTTGCTCACAGGGGGCCATTTGGCTCCACTCCCAACGGGAAGAGCCGTCCCTGTGTGCGACCACAGAGGGATGTGAAAGGTGAGCACAGTAATTCTTCATGTTTTGTGTATTTCCTGTAATTAAAGGAAATACAAGAAACATACAACTGATGTACCTCATTCCTCAGCCCACCCACAACACCAGCCCTGGCAGAGTGATTGTCTTTGTGGGTAGGGGATCCATGGTTTGGGTCCCAGGGCTCTGCTGCTCCCAGAGATGTTCCGGAGGTGTGCGGCTGGGCTGGCACCTGCTGACCTGTCTGCAATTCCTGCTGCAACCCAGACTGGCCCAGCTGACCTTGCTGGTTTCTTGGTGACTGATATGAGGGCACAGAGTAAACTGCAGAGGCTGAAGGGATGAGTAGTTGCTTAGTGGTGACACAGAGGTTTGAGTTTTAGCATCACCTGTATCCACAAAAGCACGGCGAAGCTGCAGTGTGCAGGGAAGGTGTCCAGTGGGTTTGTCCTCCTGGAACAGGAGGATCCTATGGGATCCTGGGTTACAACAATGTGCAGGTGTGTTGTTCCATCCCTGTGCTCCTCCTGCCATTCCTCACAGGGCAATGGGGTTTGCCCTGACTCTGCATCCTCCAGGTGTGGATATGCTGCACTGGGGTGAAAAAAGATTTATTTCACGTTAGTGGCTACATATTAGTTTATTACACCTCAGTGATGTTCCATGAGCTTTGTCACAGCCCAGTGCAGCAAAGGAGGCTGCATTAGGCCATGTGTTGGACCCTGTCACGGGTGCAAAGGAGTGCTGAAGTCAGGATGGGTGTCCCACTTTTGTTCCACTTCACCAAAAAAGTACTTTGACTCTGGAGGTTGCTGAAAACAGCAAAGTACCTCCTCTCCTGCCTTTGCTTATGGTATTTATTGAGTAGTTGCTCAGCAATAACCTTGTAAAATTTCCCATGTGCTTTTTTTGATACTCTAACCTGTGAGTTTAGAGGTTTAGGAAATTAAAAGGGTGATTTTAGCTGGGCAGATTCATGCTGAGGATTAGCTGAGCAGCTCCTGGGTTTTGCAAGAGATGGATACAACTTGTGTTAAGAGCTGGACAGGAAAGCAATTGTGCTTTGGAAACTTAAAATCCTGTCTGTCCCTGTCTCTGGAGTGAGGAAACTACAGTTCTTCATCTCTGCATGTACATAATAATAACCCTAAAATATGGTACTGAATAGGGAAAAGCATTTTGCTGTGGAAAGCAAAGGGTTTGGGGTGAGGAAATAAGTGTTTCCATTTTCAGAATGTTAGACATGAGAAATGTCAGGGAGTTAAAACCTGTGTTGTGAAAAGACTCAGCAAAACCCTCTGGGGTACAAGCACAAACAGAGCTCTTGCTGCCCATGGAGTGTCAGGCTGGCCCACAAACTGCACCTGATAGCCTGAAGTTCAGCCCTTGTTCCCAACATCGAATAAAGAAATACCTTGCTGTTTAAAGATACAAAAGTGTCTGAGTAGTCTTTCAGACCGGGTTTTTCGGCATCACAGTCTATTACCAAACACTGCCACTGTAACCCCTAAACCGTCACCCAGCGCCAGATCCGGACACCTCTTGAACACCTGCAGCAACGGTGACTCCACCACCTCCCTGGGCAACCTATTCCAACGCGTGACCACCCAATTTTTTCCTAATCTCTAATCCGAATCTCCCCAGTTTCACGGTCAGGCCATTTCCCCCAGTCCTCACTGCAGGACAGCGGCTCTTTCCCGGTTCAAACCTCGGCACAGCCACCGAAACGGGCGCGGGTCCGTAGAAGCACTTCCTGATTCTCGTCACTACCTCCCTCCACATCCCCCGTCGCGAAGCATCCCGGGAGCCCCGGGGGCTCAGCCCAGCACCGCGGGAGGGTCCCCGTATCCCCGTGGCTCCCTCCGGGCCCCCCCGCGCCTCATTCCGGTACCGCCAGGCTCACCCTTGTCCTGCAGCTCCCACAGGTAGGACGCGGCCACGCCGCGCCGCTCCAGCCCACGCCGCACTGCCCCAGCCCGCACCGAGCCGCTCCAGTTCACGCCGCTCCAGCCCCGAGCCGCGCCGCTCCAGCTCCCGCCGCTCCAACCCCCCCCCCGCGCTTCAGCCCCGCAGCCATCACCCGGCGCCGGGCGAGGCTTCTCCAGGCAGGGAGGGGCGCCTGCCAGGAAGGGCAGGAACACAGTCCGTGTGTCCTGGGCCGGGAGGGGGGCTCTGAGGGACTCCGGAGGCCTCCGGACACACCCCCCGGGCACCGTGGGGGACCTTTTGCACCGGGGATTCCTGCCCTCTGCGAGCGGAGGAGCTGTGCGGGGAGAGGACTTCATCCATGTTAATTTAGGGAGTTAGACCTGCTGTTTCGTTGCTGGGCTCCCAAAGCAACCGACACCCTTTCCCCCAGGAAAGAAAGGCTCTAGCCTTTGTGAGTCAGGAGTAGTTTCAGTGCAGGGCTCCGGCAAGCTAACAAAACCCTTACCACGCGTATAGAAAGTTTTCCCACCTGCACCTGACCCCTAATTACTTAATGACCCTAAAATGTGAGAAGCGGACCACAAAAGGTGGGTGGGTGGGGGAACCCCAGGGAGCCGAAAAAGCGGCGGCGGGGGAGCCGCGAAACGTCCGGGCGGGGCCCCAGAAAAGCGGGCGAGGCGCGCGCAGGGAGAAGCCGGGGGGCAAGGCGGCAGGGGGGGCAGGCAAGATGGCGGCGTCGGCGCATGGGCAGTCGTTAGCAAGACGCCGGCGATCACGTGGTCAGCAAGGGCGGCCAGGCGCGGGCCCGGCGACGCATGCGCAGTGGCTCTCGTGCCGCTGCAGCGCTCCCTGCTCCACTTAAGGGCCGGTTCCCGCGGCGCGACGGGACTCGTGGTCTCCCGTCTCTCCCGGGGTGTGTGCGGGGGGAATAACATGAAGATTTTCGAGGCGAAAGCGCAGAAATTAGTGAGGGACGTTCTCCGGGGGGCACCGGAAGTAGAGAGCGACCGGACTGTTTTCGACGGTGCACCACCCAAGATGGCGCCCTCCGTGACCGGAAGTCTTTCCTTCGAGGCCGCCCACAAAGATGGCGGCGCCCTTACCGGAAGTCCTCCAAGGCCGTACACAAAGATGGCGGCCTCGGCCCGGAAGTTCGCCGAGGCCACACCAAAAATGGCGCCGCCACGACAGGAAAGTAGCTGAGGGCCACACACAAGATGGCGGCGAGAGGCCCCCTTCTCCCAGAGAGGCGTCTATCCTGTTGCCTGACCTCCGCCCCGACCCAGAGCCCCGCCCCGCGCCCGCAGCGCCGTCTCGCCGCGCCGTTTCCCGGTGCGGGGACAGGGCGGCGCGCTCGGCGGCGCCTGGCGCGGGCGGCAGGTTCGTGGGCGGCGGCAGGCACCGGCGCGGGCAGCCCCCTCTCGGCGCCGCGGCGCGCGCCTCGGGCGCGAGGACCCCAGGCAGACGGCGGGGCTTGGCGCGCCGGCCGCCCGCCCCGTTCCGCTCCGCTCCGCTCCCGCTCCCGCTCCCGCCCCCGCCCCCGCCCCGCTCGGTCCCGCCGTGCCCCGGAGATGCTGTCGGGGCTGCGCCGCCGCCTTCCCCCCCCGGAAGCCACCCACGGCGGCAGATCCGACGTCGGGCTCTCCGGCAGACCGGCCCCGGGGTAAGCGGATAGCGGCGGAGGCGCCGCCGCTCTTCTGCCTCTCCCGCGGCCATCGGGGACTGCAGGCAGGGGAAGAGACAGGCAAGTTTCTCGCCTCTGCGGAGAAACTTGCACCTGCGTGCCGCCGCCAGGAGAAGGGGCGGAGAGAGCGGCAGGCGGCAGGGCCGGGTTCGGATGTGCCCTGCCATTGCACCCCCCCCCGCGGGGAGGGTCTGTGCTGCCTCGGGGACCATGTCTGTGCTGCCAGGAGAGAGAAATCCTTTGGGAAGCTGGGCTGGAAACAGCAACTCTGTGAATTGCTCAGCTTTTCCTAGGTAAGGGCAGGTTTTAGGGAAGAAAGGCCCGCACTTGCGAAAGGCGCCGCGGGTCTTGCAAGGGGGGGGCGCGCGGCTGCAGTGCCGTTCCCGGCCGTGTCCGCCAGGCGGCGACTGCGAGGCCTCAGGGCCCGGCGCTCGCGGGGGGGCCCGGCGCTCGGTGAATTTGGGCTTCTGCGGGTGAATTCGG